TCGTGGCACCACAGGGAGCTCCACCGAAGGCCCCAGTGGCGGTGTCCACATGCGTTCCCCCTGGCAGGTGCACCGATTCGTGGCCCCATACGGAGATCCACCGAAGGCCCCCGTGGCGTTGCCTGCTTGCGCTCCCCCTACCCATTGCGGCGTCTCGTGGCACCACAGGGAGCTCCACCGAAGGCCCCAGTGGCGGTGTCCACATGCGTTCCCCCTGGCAGGTGCACCGATTCGTGGCCCCATACGGAGATCCACCGAAGGCCCCCGTGGCGTTGCCTGCTTGCGCTTCCCCTACCCATTGCGGCGTCTCGTGGCACCACAGGGAGCTCCACCGAAGGCCCCAGTGGCGGTGTCCGCATGCGTTTCCCCCAACAAGGTTTCGTGGCACCCCAAAGGCCCCAGTGGCGGTGTCCGCATGCGTATCCTCCACCCAGGACAACGCTTCGTGGCCCCATGGGGAGCTCCACCGAAGGCCCCAGTGGCGGCCCCGCCCCATTGCGGCGCACACCTCAAGCGTTTCGCGGCCCCATAATGGGTTCTGCCTAAAGCCCCAGCGGCAGCGCCCACATGGCGACCCCGCCCCATATCGGTACAGCATTCGCATGCTTCATGGCCCAATAAGGGAATCCCCCGAAGGCGACGCCCGCAACGACGGCACTCACAACTGCATCTGGTGGGGTCCTTCGCCAAGATCGTGGACGGACCCGGGGCCCGACGAGGCCCCGAGAGGCCGAAAACGACCAACCACCTCCCGTCGTGAATCTGCTGAGGCTCACTGAGGTTACCTGCGGCTAACTGAGGTTAACTGAGGCTAACTGACATCAGCTGAGGTTAACCAACTGAGAATAACTGAGGTTACATGAGGTTGCCTAGGCGAGCTGAAGTTAACTGAAACTGACAAACAAGCTCCGCCCGACGCCACCGAACCGCGACCTGCGGCCGCGCACTGCCAGAGGCCCCGTCGCCGTACCTCTGAAGCCCTGTCCCCCGTGGCGGCCCGGGCGCTCCCGGCCTGCCGCGCGGCCCCCGCGGCGGCCTTCCCCTTGGCGGCCGCATCCGCGGCCCTGACGGCCTTGGCCACTCGCTGGATCCTCTCCAGGTCGGGCCCCGTGCCCACCTTAGGGCGAGGAGATCTGCACCCGGACATGCAACCCTCAGTCCCTGGCGTGGAGCGGTTTGACAGCTGGCGTTGTCGCCCAATTTCCGGCCCCAGGACCCTCACAGATCGATCCGGCTCGAAAAATGAAACGGACAGATGGGATCCCGGGCTCTAGGGGTGATGGTCTCGATGTTGTAGTTCTCCCAACCATCCTGTGGTGCTGGGTCTTGGTTTTGACAAGACAGCGCCCCGCGTCTCCTCTCCTTCCTCCTCCCCCTCCTCCCTCCTCCCATCCCTGCCTCTGCCCTTCGCGTGTCTTTGTTTCAAAGCCTCGTGGCCCAATAGGGAGCTCCACCGGAGGCCTCAGCGACAGGGTTCACATAGCGGCGCCGCTTCGGCGCACCCATCACACGGTTCATGGCCCCATAGGGAGCTCCATCGAAGGCCCCAGCGGCGGGGTCCACATGGCGGCGCCGCTTTATTTTGGCGCACCCCTTACGCGGCTCGCGGCCCCGTAGGGAAATCAGCCGAAGGCCTCAGTGGCAGGGTCCACATGGCGGCGCCGCCTTATTTTGGCGCACCTCTCACACGGCTCGTGGCCCCATGGGGGATCTCAGCCGAAGGCCCCAGCGGCAGTCTCCTCATGGTGGCGCCGCCATTGTTTTGGCGCACCCCGTACACGGCTCGTGGCCCCGTGGGGAGCTCCACAGAAGGCCCCAGTGGCGGGGTTCACTGTGCGGCGCGGCCCCATTCTGGCGCACCCCTCACACGGCTCGTGGCCCCATGGGGGAGCTCCACCGAAACCGGTGCCACAACACTGTGTTCACAACTGCATGCTTCGCCGAGATGATTCTCAAGTGTCCGCGAACCCAGCAAAAGGTTGCAACATCGCCCAGGATGCTCCTCAGCGGGCCGTAATAGGCCCAAGATGGTTTCGAATATCGCGCCGTCAGAGAGCCTGGTATGCTCGTTGAAGCCTCGCTGAAGGGTTGAGGTTACAGAATCCCCCAGAGGCTCAAAAGAAGGCCAAGAGCGCCCCTAACACGTTGAACCTTGATTATCCTGCTTCTGCCTCCGTTTCTTCGGCCCCAGAGCCGTTCCAAATTCGTCCCCCGACCCTGTCTGAGGTCCATCCTGATTTGTGTTGCAAAGCTGTGCGATTTTCTGACAATCTGGGGGCCCGCAAGGAACTCCAAGGGACGAAACCGAGGAGACGCATCAGGAGATTGACAATCGATAGAAGCCCCCCTTTGCGATTTTCTCTTTCTCCTGCTCCAAGTCCATTCGGATGTCACCCTGGCCAGGATTTCGCGGTGCGCCCAGCTTCAGCGATGAGAATTTCCAGAAACGCACAACACTCTCCGAAAACGCCGACAGCGATCACAGATCCTCTCTCTGCCCTTCTCCTCCTCCTCCTCCTCCTCCTGACGGTCCTCTTCCTCCTCCTCCTCCTCCTCCTCCTCCTCATCGCGACAGCTGGAGGAACATGGGCGTCACGCGCAACATGGTGGTAAGTGGAGGGAGGAGGCGGACTCAAGAGAGCAATACAGTAAGGGGTGTGAGAGTGACGGTAGCGGGGAGAAGGGTGGCTAGAGAGGAACTCCGAAGAACGAGGTAGGACGAGGGAGAGACGGGATACGAGCCAGGACTGATGCATGCGGGCAGGAGGCAGAAGGCAGGAGGTGTGGACGCAGATGCACGGGATGGAGAAGGCATGAAGGAGAATGAGAAACGAAAGAAGCTACAGACGAAGTGGGAACCTCTTGTGGCCTTTCTGAGGCCCCTTCGCGCCGCTCGGAACGCCTCTTGGGGGCATCTTGGAGCTCTCTTTGGGGGCATGCGCAAGCCTTGCAAGCGTATCGGAGGCGGAAATGCGAGAACACAATCATAGGTTTTTTCCAAATGTCATGTCAATCATTCTGGCCCTCTTGGGGGACTCTTGAGGCCTCTTGGGGCGACCTTGGGTGCTGCTGGGGCCTCCAGAGCCGTCGGGGAGCCGTCGTGGACAGCCTCGGACCATTCTTGGGCTGTCTTGGGGGCGTCCTGGGCCTTCTTGGGGCCCTCCGGGGACTCTTTTTGGACGCCCGGGAGGATGATGCCGGGGAGTCGCCGCACCCTGGCGTACATAAACAAATCATTGTTTCCAGCTTCCAATGTTACAGTATTGCTTTCTTCAGTTTGAATGAGCTTGGGAGACCCAACCAACAGCTGGTATTCTATGTCTGCTACAGTACACGACAGCACAAAACTATCGGGGACAAGGTATTGGTGTCCACATACTAAACCTGAGGGTGAAACCAGGCACGCTTCCAAATGCACCGAACTTTGGAAGCGTACATAAACAAATCATTTGGTTCCGCTCGAAAGGGCTGCGCGTGACCAAAACGCGAAGAATATGGTTACGAGCGACCCCTCACACACTTGAGCTATCAAAATGCACTGAAAACTCCCGTAGCCAAACTCGTTCCGGAACGATGCTCGTATAACCAAGTCGTAACCATAATTTCAGCTTTCGCAGCAAAATCATATCCGATTTACATACATCGTAACCAAATAATAACCCCATCGTGGCCAACTCCTAACCAACTCATAACCAAACCGTAACTATATCGAAACGACCATGTTCGACATTGCCGATAGGGCTGAAAAAGGGGGCGGGCGAAGCAGGAGGGAGTCCGCCCAAGCTGGTACACGGTGGTTTCCATAATGCTGGCTAAAGGCCTCAAGAACAGCCCCAAATGTTGGCTTAGCGTGGCCACGGAGCCTCCAAAATACGCCCCTGACGTTGCGAAATCAATGGATATGCAGTGTGCCTGTCAGGCAGATGTTCGCTGCATCGCCAAATTACTCGCCCCCGATGGGCCTCTGATGCCCCAAGATGTCGCAAGGGATGGCTGAACGTCCCCCCCCCCAGAACAAAACATAAGAAACACGCATGAATGAGAGGGAGTCGATCTCTTCCTCCTCCTCCTCCTCCTCCTCGTCCTCCTGCAGTCTTCCGTCTTCCTCGTCCTCGTCCTCCTCCTCCTCCTCGTCCTCCTCCTCGTCCTCCTCCCCCTCCTCCTCGTCCTCCTCCTCCTCCTCGTCCTCCTGCAGTCCTCCTCCTCCTCCTCCTCGTCCTCCGTGCCCCATAAGGAGCTCCGCCTCTGGCCCCACGGGGTGCCTCCGCACGGCGCCGTCAATCCCCACTTCGGGCCTCTCTGGGGGGGATCTTTGGGGGGTCTCTTGGGGCTTCCTGGAGGCCTCTTTTGGGCATCCTGGGGTACAGTCGAGGCGTTGACCTAAGGAACCCTAAATAAGGAAGGAGGCCCCTATTCTCCATAAGTTGAACTTCGATTTCGTATCGAAAACCTAAGGCACATCCAAGGCAAACTGCGAAACAATTAAGGAACACGGAGCCCCTCCCCAACGAAAAGGGTTCCTTCTGCAGGGGCCCCGACTGTACTGCAGGGCCCTTGCATGGTATAGTCTTTGCATGGTCTTTGCATGGTGGCCTTTGCATGGTGGTTGCAAGGTCTTTGCAGGGGGGGGGGCGGTGCAGTCGCCGGTCCGCGTCCCGCGGAGGGGGGCCCCTTAGAAAACTACAAACTGCAGAAACCCTGCCAGGCAACACTTGGGCACATCATCCGTTTCCACGACGGACCCCATGTAGCCAAATCGTAACCAAATTGTAACCCTTTTGACGCAACCGAATCGTAACCAAATCTGATATAGCGGAACCAAACTGTAGCCACATTTCGTAATCAATGTAGCGTAACCAAAGCGCTGATAGAGCGTAACCAAAGCGTAACTTTTCACAACCAAATCATAATCAAATCACACTTCGTAATCAAATTTCGCGCAACCAAATCAAAACAATGCACCCCTCTCATGCAACATCGGTCCAACAAGAGGTCGATTTGATTACGCACGTGCACGCAACAAACCATTGCAAGGTACAAATATTTGGGTGCTTGATTTGGTTACGACGTCTTGTCTTCTAGGGCAGATGTTTACGAGGTGCGCGGGGCCCTGGGGGGGCAGCATTTCTCCCCGGACAATTTGCTGAATGGGCTGATGTTGTGCTAATCGGTGTTAACTCCAGCCGACGGCAAGGGGAGCAGAGACATCATCAAACAACTCTGGCGGTCCAGATCGTTCCGCCTGAGACATCCTCACACATCGCGTTCCTAAGTTGTCCGGGATGGGCCGGCTTGACGCAGATGCCTTCGAGACTCCAAGCTCCGAGGGGGGCCGCGCGCGACGTGGTCCGGTGCGCCTCGCCTGAGACATCCTCACATCTTTGAGCTCCGAGATGCCGCGCGCGAGGTGGTCCAGCGCGTTTCGCGCGAGACGTCCTCCCAAACTCTGCGTTCCGAGCTGCCGCGTGCGAGGTGGTCCTGCGCGTTTCGCCTGAGACATCCTCCCAAACTCTGCGTTCCGAGCTGCCGCGTGCGAGGTGGTCCTGCGCGTTTTTTGGCTTGAGACATCCTACCAGCTCTGCGCTCCGAGCTGCCAGGCGCGAGGCAGTCTGGCGCGGTTCGCCTGAGACATCCTCGCGCCCCCGAGTTCCGAGATCGAAAGGGCGGGCTCCGAGAGGGAGACGAGAAGAGCAGTGAGAAGGCAGACCCGAGCGGGCCATTTGACAACCCTTCTGTCGTCGCACTGTGCGACGGGGAGAAGTCGGGGCGCCCCTGGCCCGACGGAGGAGGGAGCCGGAGCCGAGGCGCGAGCAGGCTGCCTTTGTACATCGCAGGGTCTTACCCGGGGGGGGCCATGCTCCTCCTCCTCCTCCTCCTCCTCTTCCTCCTCCTCCTCCTCCTCCTCCTCCTCCTCCTCTCCTCCTCCTCCTCCTTTTCCTCCTCCTCCTCCTCCTCCTCCAGCTCCTCCTCCTCCTCCTCCTCCTCCTCCTCCTCCTCCTCCTCCTCCTCCTCCTCGTGGAGCTGCCTCGAGCGAGAGCGCGGCGAGCGAGGGAGGCAGGCTAGGGGGAGGGGAAAAGGGAGGAGGAAGGAGCTCCGAGGTGTTTCGCGAGAGGCGGT